ACCTCTCCCCCGCTCCTTCCCAAGCATAACAAAATACACGCAACTAGAAGGGATGGCGGGGGGGGGGAGGGGTTACCATACAAATGTTGTATATTGTTTTTACAAATTAGGTCTGACTCAGTGAAAATCCCAATTTTACATCAAGTTAAAATCATGAAATCAGTTTTGAATGAAAAAAAGCTGCATTTTGCTGTTCATTAAGCATATAAAACCCAGCGGAAGGTGACAAATCACAATAATAGCAAAAAAGATTTAAGTTTTTTCTGTTAATCATTGACAAAGCACCAATTTTTAAGAATATTGACTGTTTTATGATTTAACCTTCCATACTCTTACAATTAAGGCCAAAATCTGCAGAATAAGCAAAATTACTGCCTGCGCCCGTAAACGCACTTATATAACCAACGCCTAACTAAAACTCTATTAAAACACACACCAGATAATTGGTTTTAGTTGCTTTGGACTTAGGATTACAGGAGTGCCCACAAAACATGAGACTGTAAAGACGACTTAAAACTCTTTAAATATGACAATCCTATGTTTAAGTCTTCTGCCTTAAATATCGTCTTTTAATGGCTTATTTAATAACTTGACAAAGACCTAAAGACATTTATAATTGTAGGAAAACATGAATATATTAAAACAGTCAGTTTGAATACCGTACAGTCGTCTCTAAACAGTCAGTTTGAATACCGTACAGTCGTCTCTAAACAGTCAGTTTGAATACCGTACAGTCGTCTCTAAACAGTCAGTTTGAATACCGTACAGTTGTCTGTAAACAGTCAGTTTGAATACCGTACAGTTGTCTGTAAACAGTCAGTTTGAATACCGTACAGTTGTCTGTAAACAGTCAGTTTGAATACCGTACAGTTGTCTGTAAACAGTCAGTTTGAATACCGTACAGTCGTCTCTAAACAGTCAGTTTGAACACCGTACAGTTGTCTGTAAAGTCTCATATATTTTGGGTAATCCTTTCTGTAAATTGGCATCAGCTTGAATACATTTCCTTGCATATACAGTCCTTTTCTAGAAATTTGCACACAATAAGGGAATAGAGGGGGGGGGGTCCCAGGTCACTGAGAGACCAGGGGGATTAGGGTTAAGTCCTTGTGACAATGCTACACAAATAATATTACTTTTCGGCTAATGCATTAAAACCCTGCTGTGCCCCTAATGAGAAATCTAGATAATACAGAAATATTAATCTAAAAAAGTTAAATGCATATTTTTATTACTATTTTTACAATTTATCTTTTAGTTCTTGCTTTTCATGACGCCTGTTTGTACCCAGCAAAAAAGTTTCGCAATTTTCTTCCTCTTAAATTGGTAAATTTTCTAAAATGTTAAATCTCTGCATTTTTATTTTCGACACAATTTTTAAAATTTTATCGTCAAGATAGTAGAAACCTTCTCTAGGGCCAAGTAAGTTGCCACACACAAATTTCGTGCGATTGCTACAGCCGTTTTGACTTCTGGGGATACCAACTGACAGAGAAGCCAAAGGAATTGAGTTTTTGCCACAAACTCTGAGTTTCTAATTTCAATATCGTTGCAACCCAATGTCGTAGACCTTTAATATTTCAAACTTTGAAAGATATTAGATCAAATGATGTAAGTTTGAAATATCAAAGGTTTACATCATCAGGCTGCCAAGATATAGGTTTTACAAAAACTGAATTTGTGGCAAAGACTCAATTCCTTTACATAAAAATGTATACATTTAAAATAGTTAACAATGTACTAGTTTTTAAATGCCCCCTTCAGGCCCACCAGTATTCACAATATTCAAGTATGTAACTGTCTAAAAAGCTAGGGTTAACAAAAAATAATGTTTCATTGCTGAAATCCTAGAGATGGGTTTTGAATCCATAGAAATATTAGTAAATTAATTCCTTGTTGATTTTAAATTGTACCATTATAATTATGTACGAATAAATAGAATAGTAATCATTTATCTTTGTTTGTTTTTCTAGAAAATGGATAAAATTGGTAATTGGCTATTGTAAGATAAGATGTGTGTAATTTGACTGTCTATTGTTACCCCTTCAGTTTCCGCCCAAATCTATGCAGTACAGGGTGTCCCAATAAACGTGGGGATTCAATGACGAATTCGATATCGTCTTTTCAAACAATTCTTTGATTTAGTATAGTGATACCTTCTGAGAAAGCTGTAATCCGTAAGAGTTTCGTCTGCTATGTTTACAAATTGTTTGTTTAAGTTTTGACTGCATATGGTTGTACTTAGTAAAACAAGAAAATTGCAATAAACAACTTGTCCGTCTTCACTGTTCATCTTCATAAAATAAACTCTAGCAGACATAATAATATTATGGCTTTTGAAATTAGATATTACAATGCTAATTCATAACAAAGATGATATCGAATTAGTCACTGAATTCCAATGTTTTTTGGGACACCCTGTACAACTGTATTTAACAATTTTCAACAATTTAAAAAGTTTTTTCACCAATCGATTAAGCAATTGTTTGAACGCAAGGTTATATATTTCAAATGATATTGGACAAATTTACTTAATCTAAGGAAATATTCATAATTTTTAATGAATTATTAACAATTTTTAAAAATTTGATCGGAAATAATTCATTTGTTAGATTGATAAAAGTACCATATAACGACAAATTTATGAAATGTTTTATATGAAAATAATTAAAAGATAAAAAACTTAAATTTCTTTTGTTATTTTTTTTGACGTGAAATAATAGTATAAAAAACAATAGTATAAAAAATGTTATAACTGCAAAAATACCATAGCTTTGCCCTGGAGTTTAATAGAAACAATTGGCTGTTTTACCGGCCACATTAGTCTTTGAAAAGTAAGACTAATGAATGAATGAATGAATAACTATACTTTTTAGTTTACCCTTAAATTATCCAAATAAGTGAACGGTCTCTTTAATATATATTGCAAAGCTTAATAAAAGCAAATTTTAATATAATACAGTTTTTAAATCTTTAAAGTGTTTTCATTTTTTTTCTTCCAAAAACTATCCAAAACAATCAAAAACATTACAGTTGGGCCAGACTTGTTCATACAACGCTTATTTGAGTTCAAGAAGTGGCCATGACGTGTACCCTACCTTACATGAACAACATTTGTAGCCATCACAAAATATATATTCGTAATATCCTAGATATTCCAAAATGTTAAACTATGGTGAATGTTGATAGACTACTAGAATGATCTAGAAAGGGAGTGTAGGGCCCCCTCCAGGGAATATATCTTGGTAGGGAGTGTAGGGCCCCCTCCAAGGGACTCTGTATGCGGGATCTCCAGAGCATGGGAGCTGCGTGGTCTGTTGTAGAGTGGTTAGTTGGGTACGTAATTTGAAGCTAACTAAATAAAAACGTAATAACAACTTATTTTTGTTAGCTGGGTAGCTACTTTCGTAGTAACTTAATCCAAATGAAACGTAATAATAACATACTTCGTTAGCTGGGTATGTACATTGGTAGTAACTCAATCCAAATAAAACAAAATAATATACTTTGTTAGCTGGGTTTGTACATTGGTAGTAACTCAATCCAAATAAAACAAAATAATATACTTTGTTAGCTGGGTATGTACATTGGTAGTAACTCAATCCAAATAAAACAAAATAATAACATACTTTGTTAGCTGGGTTTGTACATTGGTAGTAACTGAATCCAAATAAAACAAAATAATAATATACTTTGTTAGCTGGGTTTGTACATTGGTAGTTACTCAATCCAAATAAAACAAAATGATAACATACTTTGTTAGCTGGGTATGTATACTGGTAGTAACTGAATCCAAATAAAACAAAATAATAACACACTTTGTTAGCTGGGTTTGTACATTGGTAGTAACTCAATCCAAATAAAACAAAATGATAACATACTTTGTTAGCTGGGTATGTATACTGGTAGTAACTGAATCCAAATAAAACAAAATAATAACATACTTTGTTAGCTGGGTTTGTACATTGGTAGTAACTCGGTTCAAATAAAGCATAAAAATAATATACTTTTTTAGCTGGGTATGTATATTGGTAGTAACTCAATCCAAATAAAACGTATTAACATACGTTCTTAGTTGGGGATGTAGTTTGAACGTATAAATTCAATCCAAATAAAACAAAATAATAATATACTTTGTTAGCTGGGTATGTACATTGGTAGTAACTCCATCCTAAAAAAAACATAAAAATAATATATCTTTGTTAGTGGGTATGTACATTGGTAGTAACTCAATCCAAATAGAACAAAATAATAATATACTTAGTTAGCTGGGTATGTATATTGGTAGTAATTCAATCCAAATAAAACGTAATAATAACACACCTTGTTAGTTGGGTTTGTACTTTGGTATTAACTCAATCCAAATAAAACGTATTAACATACGTTCTTAGTTGGGCATGTACTTTGAACGTATAAATTCAATCCAAATAAAACGTAATGAGAACATATTTTGTTAGCTGGGTATGTACATTGGTAGTAACTCAATCCAAATAAAACGTAATGAGAACATATTTTGTTAGCTGGGTATGTATACTGGTAGTAACTCAATCCAAATAAAACGTAATGAGAACATATTTTGTTAGCTGGGTATGTACATTGGTAGTAACTCAATCTAAATAAAACAAAATAATAACATACGTTCTTAGCTGGGTATGTACTTTGGTAGTAACTCAATCCAATTAAAACGTATTAAGAACATTTACGAAGAACGTACTTAGTTTGTTGTGTGTCAGCTCTAAACACAATTTAAACATAATTGGCATATAATTACAACGTATTTTACTGATTAGGAATACACTTTCAATCTAACTAGAAGGTAATTTAAACAGACTTAAAGCGTAATTGGATCATAATAGATTGGTACTTAAAACAACTTAGAGCAAAATATGAATGTTTTATTCATATAAATATGCACTTAATAGAATTATACTCTTCTAACGATCTCAATTATATAGTTATAATATACTCACTATATACTATAGTTATACTGTACTCGCTATATACTATAGTTATAATATACTCGCTATATACTATAGTTATACTATACTCGCTATATACTATAGTTATACTATACTCGCTATATACTATAGTTATACTATACTCGCTATATACTATAGTTATACTATACTCGCTATATACTATAGTTATAATATACTCGCTATATACTATAGTTATACTATATTCGCTATATGCGAAGGACGCAACTCTTTGGACTCTCACGACATTTGTTGTGCAAACAGTTTAATTTGTCCCCAAAAATTGTGATTTCACTGTGGGAAAAACTTATTCTTAATGTGCATCAAAATGATAGATAATTCTTTCATAGCCATATCATAGTTGTTAAAATGCTCTGTCTAAATTTCAAAAATGTGTTCTTTTATGTGATGTCAATGTTACCGGAGACACAGGGTGTCCCACGAAACATGACAGTTGTGGAATAGTTTAAATGTCTTCTTCCATAATAAGTTAAGTGGTTTGATACTAAAGAGAATGATAAAAAATATTACATGGCAATAATATTTTAGTAAAATTGATTTCAAAGTAAAATAAATTTTAGGAAAAGATGTTTTTTAACAAAATAAACTGCAAAAAGTCTTTAATATCCAATACAATATATGGAAGAAGACATTCAAAACTATTCACTAGCTGTCATGTTTCGTGGGACACACTGTATTAAGAATTAAGTTCAGATTTAAATTTTGTAAAATAAAACCAAAACCAAATTCTTCATATCTCCGGTAATATCGAAAGCATAAAAAAGGCAAACCACATTTTGGAAATGCCAGAAGTATTTTATGATTACTATCTCTAGAATATTACTTCTAAAATTAGGTTGACAAATAAATGGAAAAAATTATATAAAAAATCATGTCATGTTTCGTTGGACACCCTTTAGGTCAAACCGTCTTTAGTTATATTCGATATAATACAAAAATATAATTTTATCCTAGAAAGATTTCTAGAGATGCAAATATTGAAGGGATAAAAAGAAAAATGCGAAAAATGCAGAACAGAACCCTTGGTCAAAATCATCAATTCATTTTGACATCTTACCCGTTTTGTATAGATATAATAAATTGAAAACGCGTAAATCTATTAAAAATAAAATAAAAATTAAAAATGGACAAATTCCTGAATACTCCACTGCCCCTTTCATATTTCCTTTACAGGCCTTTTAAAGTGCTGTAGACTTAAGTTCAAGTGGCTCTCAATCTATAGAGTTGCATGTACAATTCACAACGGAACCCTTTAAACCTTTATCGGGGCAACAATGAGCAAAATACTGTCGTTTTTTTAGCTAGAAAATTCTCCGATCGCATAAATCCGAAAGCTACTGTAACAGAGAACCGCAATTTAAAATAAAAAATTTTATGATAGAAAAACATGAATAAATCAATCTTTTTTGCACAGGTTAAGTTTCATAGTGTACCGTTGTGAATCTAGCATGTCACCTTTCCTTTGGAGGTCACTTGGAATTATAAAGATTTTTGAAAGGTTTGAAGTTTCTAGGAAACTTTGAGAATTTGTTGATCTTTAACATTTTATTTTCAAATATAAAAGTCAGATAAGGCCAAGTGTCCACTTGAAAGCATTACAAAAATATTGTCTTTTTAAAGAATTGTGTCTGACATAAAATGTTGTCACTCTGAACACTTTTTCATTTTACATCTTTGCAACTTACAAATTTGAATATAAGATGATTATTTCTTTTAAAAATATGTTCAAATATTTTTTGTTTAATTTTGAACTTCACTCTTCAGATTTTATATGTTTTTCTTAATTTTCGTAAAATTTGGGATACCAACTATTAATTAAATGATGCCAAGTATTAAATGTATGAAAATCATTAAAAATTCAAATGTTAATTAACTATTTTTGTTTGAGTTTGAGAGGCTCAAATTCAGTAAATTTGGTTCAAATTCTTTTAACAAAATTTGCAATTTTTTTGTTTATCTTTGAAACTTCAATTCGATTTTTTTTTACTTTTTTAATTTTCTTCAAATCCAGGATGCCTACTGTTTAGTAAATGGTATATATCAAAATCATAATTCAAAATTTTCCTTAAAAATTTTAATAAATTATATTTTTGTTTTAGTTTGAGTGTGAAACCTCCGAGCCCATCCCCTGATTCTTCAGACAAAGAAACAGATTATCTCACGTAGGTTTTATTTCTAAAAATTTAAAAAATTCATTAAAAATTTTCATATTTTTTTTTTAACAAAAGTGTGTATTTTATATTTTCTGATTTGTAATAAAATAATGTCTGAATCAAAACATAACTTTTTTCAAAAATGACATAGTCTCAATTAATGAATACAAATTAACTTGTATTTAAAAAAATATATTTTTACAGTGGGATCTATAAAGCTGTGGAATAAGTTGGGGACATTTCATGTTTGTGTACAGTGCACAATTGCTGAGTTTCATTTTCAGTATTTTCAATATTTTCAATATTTTCAATATTTTCAATATTTTCAATATTTTCAATATTTTCAATATTTTCAATATTTTCAATATTTTCAATATTTAAAATTAAAACTTGTGTCATCTTCCTTTTCCACAGTTTTATGGGACTCGCTGTAATCTAAAAAATTTAAACTTTTATTGAATTCACCTCGAGTTTGTTTCAGAAGTTTGACCTCCACGGAGGTTAAAGCCTGGGCTGATTCATTTGAACGACTTATGTCAAGCTTAAGTAAGTTTATTTTAATACTAGATGAAGTGCCCGGCGTTCCCCGTGGAATTTAAAAAAAAATAGTTTTTTGAAAAAAAAATATTCGAATTTTGTCCAGTCTTTGTTAACCCAAGGGTTATCTCAAAAAATTTAATTATGTTTTAATAACCCAGCGTTGACTCATAGTTACTCATAGTTACTACCGCCGTTTACCCGTGCTTGGTACTAAATTACGATCTCAGGTATTTTTCCCCAATCAAAATTTGAGTCACATCGGTCCAAGGGTTCATGAGTTATGATCGGACTTAAAAATAATCAATCAGTCAAGCAGAAATTACAACTTTATATATATAGATATAGTTCCTTCAAACTTGAAACTATTTTAAAACTTGTTCCTCTACCCTAGGAGTCTGGTTAAAGATGATTATTATTAAAAATGTTGCCCCCCTTCTCTAATGGATGCAGCGCTCGGCCGCGCGCATTTAGCAAATAATAGCCGAAATGTTTTCTTTTTCAGACATAAAAGAAAATATCTTTTTTACATTTTATTTTAAAGTCCATGAAGAACCCAGCGTTGCCCAGGTTACTCATAGTTACTCCCGCCATTTACCCGCACTTGGTCTTTAATAACGATTTTTTACTATTTTCCCTATAAAAGACGACCCACTCAACTCGAAACCGGGCTAAGAACATTGCCGTGGTTCTCTTGAGAATTCTCCAATTAAAATTTGAAGCAGATCAGTCAAAGGGACGGGGTTCCTGAGTTATGATTTAAAACATTTTCAATTTTATTTCACCATCCTTACTTAGTTTTTCCAATGATTTTTCCAAAAGATCGGCTAAAAAACGACATATTTCTTTCCTCTGCCACGTAACTAGACATCACTACAAAAATTAACTTAAGGCTGAATAAATTAAATGTCATCTTCCTAAACCACACTTTTATCAGTCACATTATATAAAAGAAGACGACCTGATATTTTATATATATATATTATATATTTTCTACTTGTAGGCGGACAAAGGGTTTTTCGTGAATTTCTTCGGTGTGAAAATTTAGGAGAGAAATCCTGAGAAAGTGGAAGAGAAAGCTAGAAATATTTATGAAGATTATGTCTCTATTCTCTCTCCAAGGGAGGTTAGTACCCACCAACTAAAACTAAATTTTAACGTTTTTTCTCTCGATTTTTTCAGATTAAAGTGACTGTACGCGTAATTTTAAGTGATACTCCATACAAAGATGGAATTGTCTGATTAACAACGGTACCCTTAACATCTTAATTGGTAATCAAGAAATCCGCAAGTCACTTTTGCAGCGAAACCACAAATTAAAATAAACAATATAAAGAAACAAAAACATTGATATCTAATTCATACTTGGCCAGGCAAAGTTTTTAAGGGTACCGTTGTTAATTGGGCATTGTCATCTTTGCATTAAGGGCACATGAAATTACGCTCACAATCCTTAAGAACCAGTTTTTAATTGTACAGAGGGTATACAATACCCCACTGGAATAAGATAATTCGATTCCATGATCATATCCACCAAAGATCATACAGTGGTGTCCTATATACCAATACAAAGCTAACTACATCCTTTTGCAGCACATATATACATACAAAATATTCTCTTAAACTGTACGCTAATCCTTTGCTTATTGTACAGGCCATGTAGCTCACTTCCAAAAGTCAATCTGTATATTACAGTGCCCGGGGGGGGGGACTTCTGAAAATATTTAAATCGAGATTTGTTTTCCATGTGACTATTAAAATTTACATTTTCTCAGAAAGACGTACTATTACAGTCTTTTAAAGAGCAATATTTCATCGTTAATAAACTGTTCTGAGAAATCTGAGTAAAATTTAAAATAAAAAACCTCGCCATACACTTGTACTCCGAGAGCTTTTTGTATATTTGAGGTATGTACTGTATCATTAGGCCATAATCTCATAATATCCTTTATCAGTAAACCAAACTAAGTGTACACTCAGGCTAATACACACGGAGAGGTAGCTAAGATCCAGCCCCTTGGTTAAGCTGTTGATTGGAAGGGAGCATAGATTAATTAAAATAACAGATAGGACACTAGATGTCGTCTTTTCAAGATTAGGATGAAAATTGTTCACATTAACCCTGTGGCAGAAATCAAGATGAGTGTCCTATCTGTTAGTTAAATTAATCTATGGAAGGGTGAATAATCTTCATTAAAAAGACCGCACACACAATTATAAGAGCTCTACTGTTTTCAAATGAAGGGTTGCTTAAAATGGCGTTCACAGTCCCTTTAAGATAATATGAAGATCACCCTATGTTCATGATCATTTTAATAGTAGGTCATGACTCATACTAAACTAAGATCATCAGGATCACCGTAGACTGCCACTATACAAGGTCGAAATTGCAGGGAAAAAGATCATTTGTCAAAATAATGTAATATAAAATTCGAATCTTGGAAATGTTTTTGTGTTTTGATAATAATCAATTTTCTCTTGTTTATATGAAAGATTTTAGTCGATAATTGCATAAATAAAAAAAATAAAAAAAATAAAAAAATAATTTACTTTTGCAAGTTAATAAAGATTAAATTAAAAAACGCAACCGTAGTTAATAGTTTTGAATTAATTTTAAAAATTAAGGAAAATTTGTAGAAATGTTTGATCAATTCCTGTCAACGTCCTGTGGCAAAGTATGCAAAATTTACTTTTCAATTTCAATTTAAGATTTAGAAAATATTTAAAGAATTTCTCGTTACAGTCAATTAAGATTGAAATAATCTTTCAGCACTAAAATTCACAAGACATGGAAACTTTTGAATAAACTGATTTAGAGCTTTGTTAATGTCAAAAATTGAACAGAAAATTTAAATGACATTTACAAATATAGGATTTACGGCCTAATTTTGCAGTTCACAGTACACACATCAAATATGCAGTACGCTTTCGGAGTACTGGAGAGGTTTTGTACAGTGAATCTCGGATATATGAATATAAGGCAAAAGTTTTTCATAATAACATATTTAAGATCAAATGCCGCGGAAAAACAAGTTTAATATATCAATTGCTGTCCTTCATATATCAGGGCTATGAATTTACCTTGAATTAAAAATAAAAAGCAGTTTCTTATGAACTGTCAACAGACATACAATAATATTTGGATATATTTTCATAAATCGTGTCAACCCACGGCCCGCTTATAGATATGATTCTATCTATCTATCTACACTGAACTCGGCCACAGTACAAATTTTATTTTGGTAATTTTTTCCATGGGCCTACCAGCTGATATAGCAAACCGGACCCTAGATTTGTTGTGTTTATTTTAGGGGCATATTTATGTTTTTTTTTTAATGTTTCTTTTATACAATTTTTTATTTTTTTTTATTCAAAATAGATTTTTTTTGTTTACAAACATTTAATATCTGAAGGAAAGTTTAGGGCCCATAGAGTAGGAAAGTTGTACAGCTGTGTTGATGAACAGTGGGCCCTGTGATGTATGAACATGAGGTACTGCAGTGTAATATCTTGTGAAAATAATAGTACTTGTCAAGATAAAATCTTTTTTTCGTTCCCGAAAAATGACCTAAGAGTAGCATGGGCGAAATTTACACGCCAACCTTNCCTTTAAAAAGGTCGGGGGGCAACGATAATTAAGCTATCTTTGAAATAAAGTTTAAACATTGAAAACTACACAAGGGACTTAAACAAACCATCCCCCGCACCTTCTAAAATTCAGTGGAATATAACTGTTTGGCTAAATAAGAAAGGAATTATGCAAGAGCTGGTCCAGGGTCCATTGTCTGCTAGAACTCCAATGTACTGCATAACACCCAGAAAATTACATCGAAACTCGTCTATGATCCATCCATTCTATTATATATCCGTGTGTCAACCCTTTGAAGCTGCAAGCATCTCAGCAGCTTTCGTTTTGTGCAGACCAATGATGAATGAATTTTAAATAAATTTCAAGACGACATTTCATGCGCTCTTGCAATGTATTCATATATGTGAGATTGGCTGTATCTTTCATTTTACTTAGTTTACTCAGAATTGTTTGTAAACAATGAAGTATTACTCTGTTAAAGATTGTTTTAGAACGTCTCTCTCTAAAAACGTTATATTTCATTTTGTAAAAGAGCAGTGGTTAACCCTAGTTATATGGAAAACAAATTCATGCCTCGCATGCATCGGCATTTTGAAAAAATGGGAATGGGAAAAAATTATGGATATCATACATTCCTAATCAAACATAGCATTTACAGGTACCGGTGAGTACCGTACATGCCTCTCTGTAAACGGAAAAGATCAATTGAAATTGAATGCTTATAGTCCATTTAATTTTTCTATATTTTAAACCACAGACTACACAGACAGATCATACACTCTACCTGGATATGCTGAGCAGGCCTATAGTGTCCCGGCACGCCATGCTTTGGTTCCATGTAATATTTGTGACTGACATCTCACGGCCACTTGTTACATTCAGGGGTTAAGTTTTACAACTTTTAAAGAAATACTCCAATTTTAAACACATAAAACATAACATTTATGAATTTTGTCTGGTTTTGAAGATTTTGAATTTCCTATTAAAAGTATCCTGAATATATATGTCTCCTGATTGGTCATGGAACATTTGAAAAATATCGCATATCATAGGTTTCATTCGATCTCTGTAACTCTCTTATCTCTGTTCTAAACCAATTTCTGTTTAAGCGAAACAAATTATTTTCAGAAATCCCCTTGCGTACTGTAATATAAAGATTGACCTTTGAAAGTGTAGTACACGGCATTTTGTAGATTTTTATTTAAGAGATTTGACAAAAATGGAGAATATGAATAAACTAAATAAAAAAATATTTCATAACAAAAATATTGATATCCTCAAAACTGCCTAACCCCCTTCGTAAAACCCGGGTTTTAAAACTGGTTTTCATAACAATACCCTGTCTTAAGTTTTGGGCTCTGTTAAAGATTAGCGTATATCCGTCACTCTTTATACTATAACCTCGTTGATTGACAAAATATATAAAAAAATTCCCTTCCTCTTGATTTCAAGGCTATATATCAGGCTGGCGAAAGGAGTGGAATTTTTGCCAAATTCTTCATTCAATAATTTAGAGCAAAAAACTTCATAAAGTTTCAACAATTTTTAATTACAAATTTTCATAAAATTAAAAAAGTGTGAGTTTATAAATATTTGATAAGGGGCGTATTCTCCCTTTCCCTGAATACACTCTTATCTCAGACCTTCATATAAATTAAAACGTTTTTTTAAAGCGTTTTCACTTTTGAAAAAATCAGTAATCCTAAAAAATAAAAGTTTGAGATCAAATATTTTATTCCGGATATTACAGGGTACATGAGAATTAATTTGGTATCAAACCTTTATGATTAAATTGTAAAACAATTTATCAACAAAGGTTTCTTTGATTTTTGAAGAAGAAATATAAAAAGTGTTCACGATCACGGCTCAAGCTTTTTAGACATGTTTCATGAAAACTTTTTTATGAGGTAACTAATATCAAATATCAAATATCAAAGATATTCTTTAATTCGTTGCTTAACCATTTTATTGTGGGACACCCTGTTAAGATCTTAAACGAATCAAAAGTCTATTTTGCCCAATAAGAAAGTCCTATACGTCTCCTGATTTGCGATTGGCGAATAGGACCAAAACCTTGAATAGGACCAAAACCTTGAATAGGACCAAAACCTTGAATAGGACCAAAACCTTGAATAGGACCAAAACCTTGAAAAGGACCAAAACCTTGAATAGGACCAAAACCATGAAAAGGACTAAAAAGTAGGATAAATGCCAATAAGAGAAATAGTTTGCACCATTTGCAAAAAGCCAAAAATTTGATCAACCCGTTTCCAATACGTTAAAGATAGATCTATCTCATAATATGTTCTCAATCTATCTATCAGAATGTTATGATCTGAATATCTATCTATCTGTAGGTGAGCCTGGATTCTCGGGTCCGAGAAATCATCAACAAAAACATGATGTCTCCGAGTCACAACACTTTCGACGAAGCACAACTGCAGATATACACCCTCATGCACAGGTACTAATTAATCATGCTTCCCCCCCCCCCCCCCCCCTCTCAAAATTTTAAATTGGGCCAAGACAGAGTCTGTAGAACAAAAAAAACCTAAAACAAAAATATAAAAAGTAAAAAAATTCCAGTATTCATTTATCATCAACATTTGGTAAGAATTATTTTTCGATAAAAAAAAGAAATGTAAAAAATGGTAAGTATTAATGTTTCAGTATCATTATAAAATCTTAAAAAATCTTTAAATTTCATTTACTTTCATAAATCACTACTGCAGCTGAGAAACCAGTTTTAAAAATATCAATATTCAGCTTGATAAATAAGAATATCTCAGTTATTAAAGTTTAATGGGTACCAATGTGAATTGTACATTCCAATTTTGTTAAAATGATGTAAACCACTCTAATCTACGTCTAAAGTTCTTTTATGCTAAAAGAATTAATAATAAATTGCAACTTTTTTAGGGATTCCTATTCTCGATTTGTGAACTCCAGTGTATACAAAGACCTTCTACGGTCTACGGGGGTTGAACCCCCGCCCAACATTTCATAAGATCAGGTCAATAACATTAATTTATCATTTAAATATTCAATTTATATACTTTGAAAGATTTATGTGACATTTGCGCAGATTGCATATTTTACCGCGGGATTTTGATTTATGACGTCTCATGGTCGTCTTACTTTAATCGTTACAGGGTTACCCATAAAGGATGAGACTTGTTTCTTTCTTTTCTAAACCATTTAATAATTCACAAAAAAAACTAGTCAAGACAGAAGACATTTCAACCCTGGGATAATATTACTTCATGAGTTTCAGGTCGTCTTCTAATTCTGACCCTTTGTGGCTAAACTATATTCCAACAATGAAAATATTTTCCAACTATAAAAATAAAAATAATTAACATAATTTTCTATTTTAGGGTCTAAGCGCACAAAAGAAGAAACTCTTGGTTTAAACTTTTATACGTATCCGTCTTAACCGAATGTTTTCTAAACTTCTGTTATTTTGTTTTACTATTTATACATATATCTATTTCTAAATGTTAAAAAGAAGTATTATTTATTTAAAATGTTCAAATGTACAGTGTATTAAAACAGATCTAGTCTAAAAGAAAACCAATGATTTTGTCAATTTATTTTTGTTTTTGTTAGTGTGCTTTTTGTTGAAACTTCTTAGGACTGAATATATAAAAATTTGACAGTTAATATTTTGAGATTTAGAGAGTTTTTAGCGATAGGAAATATTAAAAAATTAGTATGCTTTTAGTGCGCTTCGCGACCCTTTTCATTCTAATAATTTAAGCTGTTTTTTGATTCTCAGAAAATTGCCATTTTTTTATTTTTATAAAATTTTTGCGGATTTTTCTGTTAAGGTTGGTGCATTTAAAAAAAAGATGAATGTTAACAATTAGTTCCGAGCTAAATTGTTCAACTTTGACAAGCCATAAACCTTCCTTGGGGTCGTGATTTGCCACAACAAATTTGGGCTCGTTCCGGTCAGCCGTTTTATGTTATTGGATATAAACAAACTATCAAAAAAATCCTGACAGAAAAGCATATAGCCTGAGAGGGCGCTTCGCGCCCATCTTCTAAATTAATTGTGAACATGTTCTCTTTGTGCACTTCGTAAAACAAAACAAAAATAATTCGCGGATTTTCACAAAAAATTTTGTGGATTTTCAAAATTTTCAAAAATTTAACGAAGATCGAATTTTGATGGAGACAAATATTTGAAATTTTGATCATTCATAAACCTTCCCTGGGGTCCCTAGATGTCCCACAAAAAATTTGGGCCCGATCGGTTCAGCCGTTTTGACGTTTATTGGATACAAACAAACAGACAAACAAACAGATAGACAAGCCAAATTTATATATTGTTAAAAGGAATTAGTTGGTAAAAAAATCCTTCATATTTGTTCCCAAATGTTAGCGGGGGTCGAAAGTAAAAAATAAAGCTAAAAATATCTTAATGGGTTTCTGATCATGATTATTCTTAAAAACTTAACTATTAAAAAATCAAATATGTTTCTATGCATATAAAGCATTTAAAGCATGTGCAGTGGCTTAAAAATGTTTTGTTAAACAGACAGTCGACACATTTTTCAAATATTTCTGGACACATTTTTCAAATATTTCTGGACACATGTTTCAAATATTTCTGGACACATGTTTCAAATAAAATCTGATCAACATTCTTTCAGAATCATTCATGCAAACTGGAAATAGTTCCATATCTATTGATTCAAACACATTCAAATATGTGGAATAGAAAGAAGATTGATGTGTATTTGATGTTGTTATAAAGTAAATAGCTTTACTTGCAGCTTAAAAATCAACTTAAAAAGTAAAATGGGTCTGGGTACCCTGCACAATTGCTGTGTTTTATGTTCATTGGACTACTTAAAATCATAAAGTCGATATCAATATCTGCATAAAAGAATTTGAGTTTGCGACACAAATTCCGATTTTTGAATCCCTTTATCTTTGCAACCTAATGGCATGTATATTAGATATTTCAAACTATGAATTTTGTTAGATCAAATAATTTAAGTTTGAACCATCAAGTAGCAAAGGTATAAGGATTAGAAAATTTGAGTTTGTGGCAAAGACTCAATTCCTTTCCAAGGAATACTATCTCTATGATGTGACAACGACACGAATACAGGAATTGAATATTTGCCACAAACTCGAATTTTTTCATCTAACAGATTGATAGTTTAAAATAGCTAAGGTCTACGACATCATAGGTTGCAAAGAGATGGGAAAAACAAGTAAAGTTTGTGGCAAATCTTTAATTCCTTTTATCGACAAATTCAGTTTTTATTTTTATACTTTAACAAAATAACTCACAGAACAAAGATATCTGACACTTAGATAATGCATTAAGTTTTGTTTTGATGTTTGAGAGTTGCTTGTATTGTAAAGACAAAAAATGTGCATTTTCTTTGTTTGGGTGTCATATTTCATTCACCCATGAATAATTTTAGCTTTCTTTTTATAACTTTCTATATTTCTATCCATAGAACTCTTTATATAACTTTCTATATTCCTATCTGTAGAACTCTTTATATAACTTTCTATATTTCTATCTATAGAACTCTTTATATAACTTTCTATATTTCTATCTATAGAACTCTTTTTATAACTTTCTATATTTCTATCTTTGTTTTAGACCTTTCTTTACGGAGCCTAAAGCATTATTTTGCTTTTTATATTTACTATTTTAAAACAGATTATTTTCAATTGTGGATTCTCTTAAGCAATTCTACATCATTAAAACAATGTAGAGTTATCAGAATTAAACACTTATTAAGGTAGAAAAACAACATTATCTTCCACACTATTATATACTGTTGTGAAGTCCTTTAATATATTTTTACAGAGGATTCAGTTTATATTTAAAACTGATGGATTTCCAGCAAAACTAAAAGAATATTGTCATTCATAACATTTCTTTGTAAATATGGATTGTTGGTCTGTTTGAATCCAATAATCGTTAAAACGGCTGAACCGATCTGACACGTTTTACAAAAGAATTTAGTCTTTGCCAGACACTCAAATTTTTAACTCATATATCTTTGCAATCTGATGGTGTAAAACTTTAATATTTCAAACCTAGATTATCTGATCTAACAGAATTCATAGATTATTAGAATATCTAAAGTCAACGACATAGAGTGATAAAGTAACAGAGATTTAAAAATCAGAGTTTGTGGCAAAGGCGCAATTCCAAACCTTCGCTTTCCTTACACTTTATCAAGTTTGTGTTTGATTTTTGTGGTTTAAGTTTTCAATACTTAGATTGGAATAATATTGCCAAAGATGTACAGCCACTGTGATTTAAAGGTCTCACGCTCTCACGCAAACATCGATAATAATTTTGCAAATAACTTCTTTAAAAACCAAAACTATCAACAAGTGCTTTACAGTGCTAAAATGTAAATGTAAAGTGCTACAGAAAAGTATAAGTAACTTAGAGCGGTAAAATCAAAGCCCAAGGCGTTGCGACACTTTAAAGTCGACCCTGTCTTAAAATTTATGAGAATTTTTTTAAGCAAACTGAATCTATGTGAAGCCATTTATCCTTCAGTGTTTTTCCTTGCAGTTTCTCTCGCCTCGAATGAATTAATAATAATATACAGTTGATAATAAAAATAATAACTTATAAAAAAAAATGATAATAATCAAATAATTTATTTTAAAGGGTAAAAACCTAGCAGTATGAGATTAAAGCAAAGCACGAAGTAGTTTCCGGAAAAGTAGTTTCAGAAATTGTTATTTTGGAAAATATTGGACCCCCGGACTTTGCCCTTCTGAAGTTTCTCCCTCAAGAACTCGTCCCTAGGATATTTCTCCTTCAGAACTCGTCCTTAGGATATTTCTCCTTCAGAACTAGTCTTGAGTCTTACTAGTACTTTAAATTGAGACTGCTTTTACTGGTTCCCATTCTTGACCTCGACTGTGACCTCGACCTAGCTCTACCCAGAGGACGGACCAATGAGAGGTCAGATATACTGCCTCGTCGTCCTCCGGCAAGGCTGCTCTTCTTCAAGCCTCCTCCGGTAGATTCTTTAGCCTCTTGGAGGGTATCAGGGACAACCTCCTCCTTGAAAATAGCTTTTAGCATTTGCTGTTGATCTTCTTTTTCATTCAAGACTATTATAGGTCGTTTTTATCCAACTTGAATATCCAATATTCCTGGATACATACCTTGAATATTCAATATTCCTGGACACTAAACTTGAATACTCAATATTCCTGGATACATACCTTGAATATTTAATATTACTGGATACAAACCTTGAATATCACATATTCCTGGATACATACCTTGAATATTCAATATTACTGGATATAAAACTTTTATGCTTAATATTCCTGGATACAAATCTTTAATATTCAATATTCCTGGATACTCACCTTGAATATTCAATTTACCTGGAAACAAACCTTGAATATTCCATATTCCTGGATACATATTATGAATATTCAATATTTCTGGATACTCACCTTGAATATTAAATTTACCTGGATACAAACCTTGAATATTTAATATTCCTGGATACAAACCTTGAATATCCCATATTCCTGGATACATACCTTGAATATTCAATAATCCGGATACAAACCTTGGATACTCAATATTACTGGATACAAACCTTAAATATTCCTTCCCCCGGAAGTCCTGGAGAAAGTGGGTTTTTGTAGAAAACTTTATAGAGAGCAAACCAGAGTAGAACTGCTATCCCGCTAGCAACAACTAAACAAAACATAGTAGAACTACTATCCCACTAGCAACAACTAAACACAACATAGTAGAACTGCTATCCCACTATCAACAACTAAACACAACATAGTAGAATTGCTATCCCACTAGCAACAACTAAACAAAACAGAGTAGAACTGGTATCCCACTAGCAACAACTAAACAAAACAGAGTAGAACTGCTATCCCACTAGCAACAACTAAACAAAACAGAGTAGAACTGCTATCCCACTAGCAACAACTAAAAAATACAGAGTAGAACTGCTATCCCACTAGCAACTACTAAACAAAATATGGTAGAACTGCTATCCCGCTAGCAACAACTAAACCAAACATAATAGAACTGCTATCCCGCTAGCAGCAACTAAACAAAACAGAGTAGAACTGTTATCCCACTAGTAACAACAAAACATAACATAGTAGAACTGCTATCCCACTAGCAACAACTTAACAAAACAGAGTAGAACTGCTATCTCACTAGCAACAACTTAACAAAACAGAGTAGAACTGCTATCTCACTAGCAACAACTGAACAAAACATAGTAGAACTGCTATCCCACTAGCAACAACTAAACACAACATAGTAGAACGCTATCCCACTAGCAACAACTAAACAAAACAGAGTAGAACTGCTATCCCACTAGCAACAACTAAAAAAACATACTAGAATTGCTATCCCACTAGCAACAACTAAATAAAACAGAGTAGAACTGCTATCTCACTAGCAACAACTAAATAAAACAGAGTAGAACTGCTATCCCACTAGCAACGACTAAATTTTTAACTTTATCAATTTATTTATTTTTTAATTTTTTTTTTATGAAACAAATTATTTGATACATGTATTTAATGCAGAATGCAGATAATCATGTTTCCAATCTTCTTGTTTCCTGGCTGTCCTGTAATGCTCGTTCAATTAGCTGCATACCCCCGCCCCCCCAGGAGGGTTAATATGCAGTTTTGAGATGCTGATCAGGCAATTTGTAGTATTTTAATATCAGCTCTTGAGTTTCTGTATTTATTTCAGTTATTTTTGATATCGGCCATCTATGCAGGTTTATTGCTGACATTGTTGTAATGAGAACTTCCCTTTGTCAGCTGCATTACATGTATCAGTGTCTTGCAGTAATTTAGAAAGAAATTAAAAGACCTCCTAGCCTTAACTGCATTCGGCTAGGTTAAAGGTGATTTAGGTGTACCTCCTAGGAAAGGAACACCCAATGAAACCAATGATGATCTCTCTCAGAAAGTTTTGATTAAGATTTCACAGCAAAGCAGTTTCTGAGTTCCACAATATCTGCTCGTGAAGTAGGATAAGGTTGGAATTTAGGAGGTAGGCGGATGAGGATGGGGGTGTAAGGGTAACAGGTATCAGAAATGCCATAGTCCTCACTTTTAACGTGTATTCCCACGTCGTTTCCTGTTTCAAAGTTTTCTGGTTATCGCTGTATAGTTTTATTTTCACTGTTAAAAGTTATCATAACCTTCGGAATATGGAACTTTCTGGAAGAATTTCAAAATTTCGAATTCTTTTTTGAAATTACGAATTTGATTTTCAGGTTATTCACATTTCTGAGATATCATTCTGTTATTAAGTTCTAACAATTTGTTAGAAATCTAAAATTGCTTGCAACAGGTAGTTATTATGAACATACAGGGTGTCCCAAAAAACATGGGAATTGAGTGACGAATTCAATATCGTCTCAAAAGCCATAATATTATTATGTCTGCCAGAGTTAATTTTATGAAAAGGGCAAAAGACTGTAAAGATGTGTCTACAATATCTCCGCAAGATGAACAGTGAAGACGGACAAGTTTACTCTGTTTGTATACTGGAATTTTCTTGTTTTACTAAGTACAACCGTATGCAGTCAAAATATAAACAAACAAAATGTGAACATAGCAGACGAAACTCTTACAGATTACAGCTTTCTCAGTAGGTATCACTATACTAAATCAAAGAATTATTGGAAAAGACGATATCAAATTCGTCACTGAATTCCCATGTTTATTGGGACACCCTGTATTATCAAGGATTTTCTATCAGTATTTGAGATTAAAATTTCCAATCGTTTTTTTTATAATCAGAATATACTTTAGTCAAAGTATTTTTTAGAAGATAAAACGTTGCGGAAAGATTAATGTGCTTAATGCATTATGTGAAACAATGTTTGAAACAAAGGACAAACATTTATATCAACAGGGGCCGAATTTAATGAATTGGAGAGGGGGTTGAACTACCTTCTGGGGGTTCAAATCCTGAATCACCGATTCAAAGTTAAATATTCATGATTATTCAGGTAATTAATTGGAGAGTGAATCGTTGGTTCAGGATTTGAACCGGTGTAAGGTAGCTTAACGACTTCTTTGCAGTCGTAATTCATTCCAATGGAAGGTCTATTTACATTACAGCGACAGCTCTTAGTAAATTCATTCATTCTAAAATTGAAATAAACCAAATAATAAATTTTAAAATGTTACGAGATGATACATATTATTTAGGTCCCGAAATTTGAAAATAAAATTTTTGAAGCATTAAGCATTATAAATTATACAATATCCATGCTTGATATTTTAAAGAAAATTTTGAAAACCAAAAAATAAATGATATTAGACTAATAGTGCTTATTTCAGAAGTCTAATATTTGAAACAATTATGTCCAAACTCCAAATTGTATTTGTAATTTCAAGTGACACTTAAAGGGAGTGACCGGCTATGTCAGGTAGTTGAACTGAGTATGCAGTGTTGTGGAAAACTTCTTTCGGATTCAGTTGAGACCTATTAAACTTTTTAAAGATCTGTAAATCCCGAGTTTGAGCGCAAATTCGACGTTCAAAACGCCTACTTTGGGGGTGGATACGCTTTCAGAATTAGTTCTTTGACGTTAGTAAATAACGACAACGAAAAATAAAGTAAGAATTATACAGTAATCAAGCCGGTCACTCCTTTTAAATTAAATAAGATCATTCTGGATTCCAAAAGATAACCTTTAAAATTTTATTCAACAAGTCCTGAGATGGAATTTAAAGAATTTGAGCCGCGGTTTAAATCTGCCAAAACCCGGTTTAAATTAAGTGCCAGCTTAAATCTTGTAACATTTGATACAATTTTAAGTGGAACCAACCATATTTAAACCGCGGCTTACATTTAAAACGCCGCTCAAATTCTTTAGATTCGGTCACAGTAAAAATTGAAAACAAAAAAAGAACACCACCTTTTAATTGAAGGATGAATTGAAATTACATTAAAAATCTCTTTAAAGGGATTTTCAATGGAACTTTCAGTCATTTTGGAAAGAGTTTTTTCCCCCAGAGTTTTTACGAAAGCGAGTTAAAAAAATCCTTTGTGCCACTTTTTAATAAAGAACTTTTTGGAATTGAAAATATTTTTATTAGAATTTCTAAACTTTACTTAAATCATCTGCATTTTATGTACGGCTTTAATAGGTATACTCAAGAAGTAATCAATAACAAAAAGTAGATTAACTATGTTTTGCTAGTTCAACTACTTTTCTAGTGACTAGTCGTATTCCTAGTCGTATTTCCATATCTTTGCAGTCTAATGGTGTAAACCTGTAATATCTCATTATTTAATCTGACACAATTCATAATTTGAAATATCAAAGGTATACTATATTGGACTACAAGGATATAGGGATTAGAAAATAAGAGTGAAAAACTCAGTTCTCTTGAGCAGTAACTCACCTTTTTCTATCATAAGATGAAAATAGAGTTGTGTCGAAAGGAGCATTAGGTCCCAAAGTATAGTTAGAACTGCCAGTAAACAGAACACACTCCTGCAAGAGCAAAAGAAGTGCATAGCGCTTCGCCAACATGGGTGGTTTTACCATTAATTACTTTCCCGAACTGTATTTATAAAGGAACTGTAGGCATAATTACAAGTGTTGAGGGGTTCGCAGAATTCCCAGTTAATCTGTTTCATGAAAAATGCGGAATTTTCGCCAAATAGAAAATGCGCAAATTTCGCGAAAAAAAATGTAATTATTGTACGAAAAATGCATGAAAAATTTGCCCAAATTGCAAGGGAAAGAAAATTTGCAAGAAAAAGTGTGCAAACAATTTCCCGAATTGCAAGGGAGAAATTGACACGTAATTATGGAGAAATATCTGCAGATATAACAAAAATACCTAACATATGGTGTGGAAGATGTGAATTCTTTTCTACAACAAAAGAAATTCTCAATTTTAGAATCATTTAAGAATGTTGTTGTTGTTGGTGTCGTTGTTGTCGTTGTGGTTGTTGTTGTTGTTGATGTTGATGTTGATGTTGATTTTGATGTTGATGTTGTTGTTTCTGTTGTTATTATTGCTGTAGTTAATGTTGTTGTGCTGTTTTTTTTGCTGTTGTTATTATTGTGGTTGTGTTTAATTTTGTTACAAAAGTATTTTTGTTGTTAAAATTGTTGTTGTTGTTGCTATTTTCTTTGCTATTGTTTTTGTTTTGGTTGTGGTTACCTTTTGATATTTATTTATTCATGTTGTTGTTATTATTACTGTCGTTATTGTTATTGATGTTGTTGTTCTTTGAATAAACCATGATGTGTGCGTATGTGATGGTAAAAATAGTTTTAAGTGCACTTCGGAAGTTGAAAGTGAAAATAATGAGAATTTTTTTCTTTTTGAAGTAATTCAAAGATATTTTACTTATTTGATTTATTTTTCAATTGCTAAGAGACTCAATCAAGAACAGATCAGCAAAGATGTCAGAATTTTTATGATTAATTTGGTTTTATGAGTTTGAGTGAATAAAGATGCATGTATGTCACTATTACGTGCGTCCTTCTTAGTTGGTCCTTTTTAGTGCGTCGTCATTAGTATTTTCAGTATAAATTGAAAGATTTCGAGATTTCAAGATTTTCCTAAGCCACAAGAATTCTTCGTTCTTGAGTTTTGACAGTGGAGTATCTGATACGTCCTGAACATGTAGAAGATGTTGTCTAGAAGGGAACTAGAGTATAGGACCAGGCTACACTCGCTACACAGTAACGACAAGTACAGACAGTAGGAAGCTTCTTGAGTGCAGAGGTCAGGACTTGTTGTGGAGTTGAGGAGTAAATAAGTGAATATGCTGTAGGTATAGAGAGAGCCCGAATATAACGCAAGTTAAGAAGCAAGCTGCGAATACAACAGGCTAGGGAGCGTTGGCAAGGACAGATTAAGGAGCTGAATCTAGGACAAGCTGGAGAGCTGAATCTAGAACAAGCTTTGGAGCGGAATCTAGGATAAGCTGGGGAGCTGAATCTAAAACAAGCTTTGGAGCTGAATCTAGGACACGCTGGGGAGCTGCGGCTAGGATAAGTGAAGGAGCTGAATATAGGACAAGCTGGGGAGCTGCGGCTAGGATAAGTGAAGGAGCTGAATATAGGACAAGTTGGGGAGCTAGGGCTCGGATAAGTGAAGGAGCTCAATAAAAAACAAGCTTGGGAGCTACGGCTAGGATAAGTGAAGTAGCTGAATATAGGACAAGCTTGGGAGCTACGGCTAGGATAAGTGAAGTAGCTGAATATAGGACAAGCTGGGGAGCTACAGCTAGGAAAAGTGAAGGAGCTAAATATAGGAGAAGCTGGGGAGCTGCGGCTAGGATAAGTGAAGAAGCTGAGTATAGGACAAGCTTGGGATCTGCGGCAGGGTAAGTGACGAAGCTGAATATAGGATAAGTTTGAGAGCTGCGGCTAGGATAAGTGAAGGAGCTGAATATAGGACAAGCTTGGGAGCTGCGGCTAGGACAAGTGAAGGAGCTGAATATAGGACAAGTTTGGGAGCTGCGGCTAGGATAAGTGAAGGAGCTGAATATAGGACAAGCTTGGGAGCTGCGGCTAGGATAAGTGAAGGAGCTGAATATAGGACAAGCTGGGGAGCTGCGTCTAGGATAAGTGAAGGAGCTGAATATAGGACAAGTTAGGAAGCATTACTAATATTACAGGCCAGGGAGCTAACACAAGGACAGGCTATAGAGCGACGGCTGGGAAGGTAGGAAGCTACGGCTAGAACAGGCAATGAGGCTACGGCTAGGACATGCTCTGGAGCTACGGCTATGACAAACTAGGGAACATATATGGCTAGGAAAAACTAGGGAGCTTCAACTAGGACAGGCTATGGAGAAACAACCAGGACAGGGTAGGGAGCTACAATCAGGACAGGGTAGGGAGCTACGATTAGGAAAAGGTAGGGAGCTACAACCAGGACAGGGTAGGGAGCTACGATATGGACAAGGTAGGGACCTACAACCAGGACAGGGTAGGGAGCTACGATTAGGACAAGGTAGGGAGCTACGGCTAGGACACGGTATGGAGCTACGGCTAGGACAGGGTAGGGAGCTAAGGTAGGGTAGGGAGCTACTTCTAGGACAGGCTAGGGAACTACGGCTAGGAAAGGCTAGGGAGCTGCGGCTATGATAGACAAAGGTGCTATTTTCTAAGACAAATAATATTTATTTGCTATGTTTACATAATTACCTTTGTATTGCTGAGACGTTTATGTTCCTCAAGTCTTATATAATCCTTGATTCGTTCCCAACCCAGGTACGCCTGTGGACAAAACTCATATAATCCTTGATTCGTTCTTAGCCCAGCTAGGTACGCCTGTGCAGGACAAAACGTATATAATCCTTGATTCATTCCCAACCCAGGTACGCCTGTGGACAAAACTTATATAATCCTTGATTCGTTCCCAACCCAGGTACGCCTGTGCAGGTCAAAACTTTTCTATTCTAAATCTGTTCAAAATGTGTTTAGATAGATCAATTTAAACCATAATTGTTTAGAAAAGTTTTTTATCAAAAGGATTGTAATTGTTATTTTAAGTGATCCTCCAATCAATGATAGCATTACCAAATTCACAACGATACCCTCGAATTATTAGTCTGATCAAAAAAGGTTGAGGATAACGCCGATGTCCTGACTTGAAAGTTATTTATTTCTGTAAATTTATGCATAGGTTCTTATAAGCAAGAAATGCGCAAGTCACTTTTCAGAAAAAATAAAAAATTAAAAATGCATATCTAGCTCGTATTTTTAAGAATACTGTCTTAAATCGAATTTGTAACTTTTGTATGAATAACGATAATCTTTTCCTACTCGTTATTTCCGGTTAAAGGTTTTTGTTTGACAAAATACTTTTTGTCCTTAATGTTCTGAAGTTGTAAAATTTTTAAGATTCTTTAATCCTTAATTCACTCTCCTGTTTTTAAAACATAATTGATTAAAAGAAAAGACTAAAAAACAAAGTGAAACTAGCTAGTTAGATATAATAAACTGGAAGTGTAGATAAGAAAGTAGAAAGTTTATATCTTGAAAGTTATAATGGAATTATTTTTACCTATTTCAAGACATACTATAATTCAATGAATTTAGAATCCTCGTTTCAAAGAAAACCACGTTTTTTAAAAAGAAAATCATGTTTTTTTTCAGATATTACAAAAAGTGACGTAAATGGGCCTTTTAGCTTTATTAGAAAAAATATGAATACAAAATGTCACTAAAAGATTTAATCATGGTGGCTCTATGGTACAAAAATTGAGGTTTTGTTAGAATTACGGTAAAATTCCAAAAACAATAATGTAAATTGATTGAAATTAGAAAAAGTTCGCGGCATTCATCATTGGTAACCTGAATTTATCAATATATTTTTATTTAACAATAAACAAAGAATAGTTCTGCCATTTCCAAAATGTGGTCTGCCATTTTGTGCTTTGATAACTACCTGAGATATGAACAATTTCGTTCAGAATAAGACGATTTCATGGTTCATTTAATAAAGTTTAAATTGAAATTGAAATGGCAGAGAAATTTTGTGATTATTTTTATAACGAATGCCGCAAACTAATTCTATGGTCGAAGACGACAAAGAAGTTATCAATTAATTTATATTATTAGAATATCTCTGTATTACACGAATTACACAAGTTAACTATCCCAATCTGTGCTGTAAACGTAATTTCAAGTCACCCTTCCTGGAAAGATGGCTACCAGTAAAAGTGTTTAATTCTGATAATTCCTGCATGTTTCCCTGCAGCAGAAAAGCGCAAGTCATTTGGTAAGGAACCTATATTGTAAATTGAGCATCATGGAGACCATCTTGAAATTAAGCTTACAGTCCCTTTAATAAACTTGAAATTAAGCTTACATTCCCTTTAATAAACTTGAAATTAAGCTACAGTCCCTTTAATAAACTTGAAATTAAGCTTACAGTCCCTTCAATAAACTTGAAATTAAGCTTACAGTCCCTTTAATAAATTTGAAATCAAGCTTACAGTCCCTTTAATAAACTTGAAATTAAGCTTACAGTCCCTTTAATAAACTTGAAATTAAGCTTACAGTCCCTTCAATAAACTTGAAATTAAGCTTACAGTCCCTTTAATAAATTTGAAATCAAGCTTACAGTCCCTTTAATAAACTTGAAATTAAGCTTACAGTCCTTTTAATAAACTTGAAATTATTCTTACAGTCCCTTTAATAAATGCTAAATCTTATACCTTCCCTTCTTCAATGATGAAAAGGTTTGAGAATATGAGGAGAAAACAGTGTCCAGAAATATCTATACCCTAAAGTATACTTAGCATTATCGTTAACGGTAGATAGTTGTTATTAGCATTAGCGTTAACGGTAGATGATTGTTAATAGCATTAACGTTAAGGGAAGATAGTTGTTAGGTCCATTAGCGCCTGATTGGATCAGTCGCTAATGGACTTGGCATACAGGAGTGCGTAGTACATTTGAATATCCGAGCCGGGTCAACCTTTGCGGTCCCAGTTTGTACTGTACCTAGCTCTCAGGACAGGATTAACCGGTGCAAAAAGGTTGACGCGGTCAGACTTCATGCTTCATATAGGTTAAATTTACTTTTACTAAAGGAAATTAAAAATATATTTTATTTATTTAGGAAAACTTTTAAATTTACAACAAGCGGAAAAATACAAATAATAAGGAAATTAAGAATTCACATAACATTAATATTAAAAAAATGAAAAAAAAGGTGAAAATTACTTGTGGGGTTCCAACGTAATAAATTATTCTCTTACGCGTAATTACGTGCAGTTACGCGTAATAATGTTCATTTCATATAATTTCGCAGGACTACGCGTAATTGGGGAAATATCCATTTCGCGAAATTACGGCGTAATTTCGTGTAATTTCTACAACCTAATTTCGCGAGATTTCGTAATGATTATGCGTAATAACGTAATTTCGCGTAATTTCTACGAGGTAATTTCGCGATATTTTGTATTAATTACGCGTAATCTCTACAAAGTAATTTTGCGAAATTTTGCAATAATTACATCTATGAAATTTTGATGTTTTAACTTTTAATTTAAATAAAACAACTAACTTACAAGAAAAATAATGTCACGCAAGTTGAATCAGAAATTTCAGCCAATACTATGTTGATGTAATTTTCACGTTCGACAACTAAAAAGTTTAACAAAGGGCCAACAATATATTTTTATCAAAAAAAATACATAATCTACGACTTGTTAATATTACAACCTACTTTCTCAAGTTTACCTTCCTTGTTTGAAAAAAAATATGTCGTCAAAATATGTTTGACATGGTTGTAGCGGGCATATCCTTACACATACTTTCCCGCTGTAATTATTTCTGAGAATTAATATGTACTTTATTTTTTACGGAATTGTTTCGTATTACGTAATTTCGCATTAATTACGCAAAACTAGACTTTCTTTCGTAAACGTTAACGCGTAATGCTCCTGCGTAAGTGAAAGAAAGTGTTACGCGTAATTACGCGTAACGTAATTACGACTGGAAACCCTAATTACTTCTTTTCATTGAAAGATCATTGATGTAGATTAAAAAGATTATAAAAATATTGAAATCATAAACTTTCATTGCTTAAAAAAAAATAATAATAACCAACCTTCCAAAGAAATCCATTAGCTAAACACGATTCTTTTCTAGTGTACTTCATAACCTCACAAACCCCAGTCCGAGACTCAATTAGCTAGAAATAGAGTAAAATTTTAAAGTACGTTTCAGATACTTTTTTGGTTTAAAATGTTGAAAAAATAATTGATAGATTTTTGGCAACCCATTCCATCCTTTCTTCAAGGAGATTTCAAAGTAAAATCGAGTGAACCTCCATTTTAAGTGTTGGGTCCGATTCACAATTCTGTACTTTTCAATTTTTTGTCGGGGCCAAACATCCTAGTATTTGTTTTCTTGGAGATAATAGTAAATTTATTAAGCAGAGCCTAGGAAGGAAATTGACAGAATTGATTAACAAAACGCAGATAAGGTTTAATAGTACTGTTGTGAATCGGGTTTGAAACTCATGAGATCACGTGAAAATTGCCAACAGTCCCTTTAATACTAGATATTTAAAGGTTACCAAGAGTCCCTTTAATCCTAGATATTGAAAGATTGCCAACAGTCCCTTTAATACTCGATATTTAAAGGTTGCCAACAGTCCCTTTAGTACTAGATATTTAAAGGTTACTAAAAGTCCCTTTAATCCTAGATATTTAAAGGTTACCAACAGTCCCTTTAATCCTAGATATTTAAAGGTTACCAACAGTCCCTTTAATCCTAGATATTTAAAGGTTGCCAACAGTCCCTTTAATCCTAGATATTTAAAGGTTGCCAACAGTACCTTTGATCCTAGAATTTAAAGGTTGCCAACAATCCCTTTAATCCTAGATATTTAAAGGTTGCCAACAGTCCCTTTAATCCTAGATATTTAAAGGTTACCAAAAGTCCCTTTAATCCTAGATATTTAAAGGTTGCCCTTTAATACTAGATATTTAAAGGTTGCCAACAGTCCCTTTAATCCTAGATATTTAAAGGTTGACAACAGTCCCTTTAATCCTAGATATTTAAAGGTTGCTAACAGTCCCTTTAATACTAGATATTTAAAGGTTGCCAAAAGTCCCTTTAATCCTAGATATTTAAAGGTTGCCAACAGTCCCTTTAATACTAGATATTTAAAGGTTGCCAACAGTACCTTTAATCCTAGATATTTAAAGGTTGCAAACAGTACCTTTAATCCTAGATATTTAAAGGTTGCCAACAGTCCCTTTAGTCCTAAATATTTAAAGGTTGCCAACAGTCCCTTTAATACTAGATATTTAAAGTTGCTAACAGTACCTTTAATACTAGATATTTAAAGGTTGCCAACAGTTCCTTTAATACTAGATATTTAAAGGTTGCCAACAGTCCCTTTAATACTAGATATTTAAAGGTTCCCATGTTGTTATTATGTTTGTTCACTGTTTTACTGAAAGGTTAAGCCTCCTTTAAAGAAAACAAAACGATTTGAAAAAACAACAAAAATATTTCAAGACTATTTCTGAACAAGGGAATGTATTATAATATATTTGCGACGCATCCCACCTCCCAACAATGAAACTAAAAAGACTGTTGAACATTATTAAACTTTACTGTACTGTAAGCCGAATTATCAGAGAGTAGATTACTCCGAAGTATAATAATACATGGAATAGTTCTGTTACGGAGAACCAGACTCCGGTAACCAGGACCAAACGGAGAAGAGTACTCCAGAGTATAATAATACCTGGGTCAGCTCTGTTACGGACTAGACCGAGAAGATTACTCCGGAGTATAATGTTACCTGGAATAGCTCTGTTACGGAGAACCAGACTCCGGTAGCCAGGACTAGCCGGAGTAGATTACTCCGAAGTATATTCATTCTTCCGCAAGAGTATGTTCGGGCTAAAAGCAATTCGATTTTTGTTTTTCTTTCTAAATCAACCTAGATTTTTACATATAGGGTTTCTAAATAAACCTACAAATTTTAAAGACAACATTAAAATTCTTTAAAAAAAACCGCCATATTTTGGGATAAAGCCAAGAATGATAAAATATGAATATGAAACGGACATTTCATTTTGTGATGCGGAGTAGTCAGAATACCATCAGTATACCATACATCAATTATGTAAGCAATGTAACATCCTTGGAGACAAGGGTGTACACGGAAATAAATCTAGGGGGCCAAATATGCGCGAAGCGTCAAATTTTTTTGCTCCCCCTAGGAGTTTCTGGGGGGGGGGGGGCGAAATTTGAACTGTAAATTAAAAACATTTGACTTCTTGACTACTCTAAAGGTACACATACAGTCCAATTACCTTGCAACCACTACTTTATCTCTCCTTCAAACGAAACTAGCAGAAAAAAACAGCTAATTTTGTTATGCTCTTCACTCTCCAGTTTCAGATTTAAAAAGTGTTACAGCTCTGAGTTCTCCCCTTTACATGTCTAGGCCCCCTCCACTGTGTACGCCCTTGCTTGGAGAAAGCTTTACTGTTCAAAATCTTGCTCAAATTTAATGATAAGGAATTTTAAACATTAAGAAAGTTTTCCAAACTTCTTTTACAATAAATATTTATTCTAGTTGTTGTTTATCAAAGGAACTCTGTAAGCATAATTTCAAATGACCCTCCGATCTCCATCCTAGGATGGTAATGCCCGATTTACAATGCAATTTTATGTGCTCTTTATTATCTAATTTTACACTTTTTTATTTAATCTTGGAAAACATGTCAACTAATATGAGAAAATGTCTTTTTCCTTGTCATATTTGACACTTGTGTACTTGATAATCTACTTGGATTGGACCATTGACGATTGCAAAGGGAAATTAATCAGAAGTCAGAACTCATATTTAAGAGTGCCCACATTGGATATTGAGATCATCAAGCGTTCTAGATTATCAATATCCACACAAAAATTCCGATCTGAGATTTTTTAAAAAATCATAAATTTTCATTTTTTTTAGTGAAAACAGTGTTATACCTGTGAGATAGGAGAACGCACCTGAACATTTTCATTTATTAAACTTGTTTTTTATAAAATCTGTTCAATAAGCTGAAAACAGTAAATTTACAGATAATTGAACGTGAAGAGGGGGAGGGAGAAATAACATCATATCATATTTGAATCCGAAATATTTTTCTTCAACAAAAAAATCTTTAATTGTTGATTGTATCTTGAAACCATAACGTTTCGCCGTAATTAAAACCTAGATTTGAGATAGAGGTAAAAAATCAATGCTTTTACAAAAGAACATTTCTTGATTTTGAAGTTACACGGCTCGGATAAAAAAGAACGGGGCTTGAATGAGGAAACGGTGCAGCTGGCCTCCCTCCCTCATTGATTCAATTATACGATTATTTTCACGGAAAGTAAATGAATGAAAAATGCAGTTTTGAATGTTTTTCTTCCTTCTCAAAAAGAAAAAAAAACCTTTCTTTGTAATCAACAAACCTAAAAGGTTTTAAAAGTTATTTGCCATCACAATTTCCCAATTTACTTAATTACAGTAAGAAACAAAGACTTTATATTTCGTGGCAACAATTAAAAATTAGAAATAATCAAATTAGAAATTACAAAATTCATCTCACTTGAATAAAAGAAAAAAGCAGAGACAATAATAACAATGCTTTTTAGTTCTCACTGTATATTTAAATACAGGCAAAAACGAAGTCTTTTCTCCAAATAAAAAATATTTTAAAAAAAAATCCTGTAAGGGACTTGAAGCTTAATTTCATGCAAAGATGGCCCGATTCACAACGTTAACCCTTAAAACCTTTGACTGTTCAAGGCTGTCGGACTTATTCTCATAAATCTACTAAAAAGCTTTCAATTGTTGAGTACTTTATTTGAAAGCTGCTGTTTTAAGCTTTAAAAATATTAACATTAATTTTCTAGAATTGACAGGAAATAAAAAAATTTTTCGAATTTTTATAAACCACATTTAATGTAAAATATTCCGTAATGTGTCAATTAACACAAGTAACGCATTAGCTGTGTTCACACTGTACACAGCGTACATCGTGTTTTACAGGAATTCAAGTGATTTTCAAGACTCAAGAGTTCTCTTTACTCATTGAACAGACAACGGTTTTTAAGGGAAGGCATTTCTCTCTTTGCATGAAGGTTCACTTGAAACTACGCATACAGTCCATTTACATAGAAGACACGTTTTATAATATTCCTATTATTAAGAAAACGTATTTCCAAATTCATTATAATTATGCTTTTCATGCATTAAGAATATTTAGAAGGGTTAGAACGTTACTGTTAACTCTCATCTCGAGGAGTCGAGTTGCAAAAAAATGTAAAAAATATGAAAAAACTAAATAATGAATAATAATGATAATGTTCCTACGACCAAGAGTGTCCAGAACCACCCAAGCTTCACAAACCACTTAATTAGAAAATAATTATCAATTAGGTTAATTTACTAAATTCATTTAATTAGCATTTTATGCGACGCTGTTATTTGGTTGTAATGTAAAATGTCTAGGTAATACATTCATGTAAATAGAAAGTACATTGATGTAAATAGAAAGTACATTGATGTAAATAGAAAGTACATTGAAAGAATGACAATAATAATTGTTGATTAATATGGTTGTCTTTAACTACTTGGCTGTATGACGTCATAGGGTTTACTTTTAACTTTTAACAAAACCATTTAAAAGTCAATTCTTTGAAATACAAAAAATAAAAATGATTCATTAATAGGGGGTTCCGCTTAACATTTTTCTTCACCCAAAATTGCGTATATTTAAATTTTATTGCGTACATTGAAAAGCAATCATCTATAAATACACAATTTTGCGAAATAATTTTTTTAATACAATTTGCGTACTTTTTGACATATGTACAGTGAAACCCTTAATACCGAATACATCGAAAGAATTCATCAAATGTCGTATTCTTCATTTTCTAATAATGGAATGTTGGAGATATTTAGTTTTTTTAATTAAATGATTTAAAACTGTTGGCGTATATTCATGGCTTTTTATTTATTTATGCAAATACTGAAATTTACGTAATATAGTATAAAAGTATAAAGTTATTGCAAATACAAGTTTTGTAAATTTTTCGGATTAAAGGGACTGTAAGCATGATTTAAAGTGTCCCTCCATGCAAAGATAGCATTGTCCGATTTACAACGGTACCCTTGAAACCTTCTTATAAGGAAGAAATGCGCGATTAATTAATTAGTTTAAACAAAGACAAAACTTTTCTTTATCTTATCAGAGACCAATAGATTTTCATAGAAGACCGACGGATTTACTGTTACAACTCTCGTATTTTATAGAAGACCGTTTTGTTTTCATCGGTGACCTCGGATTCTACCGGAGACCCCCATGTTTTGAGTTGTCTGAGATTAAAGAAAGTGGTCTTATTTCAAAATTTGGAGGTCTCCAGCAGTACACACTGAAAGCTGAGGATACCTGGGGGTCTCCGATGAAAATCTGGAGGGCTGTGCTCAAAATGGAAAGCGCTGTCAAATATTGTTTTGTGCCTCCGACGAAAATAAGTTGGTCTCCAATGATGCTGAGAGTTTCCAGAGAAAACCTGGGGTCTCCGATGAGACGGTCTTTGATATTAATTCAATGATGATAATTACTTCCCAGACTCATTGCATTAAAGAATAAAACTTTTATAAAACAGGGTGTCCCATGAAAATGAAAATTGGTGAATAGTTTAAAATGTCTTTTCCTTGATTTTTTAAGCTGTTTGATTGCTAACGAGAATAATAAAAATAGGATATGATAGTCGTATTATAGTAAAATGGATTTCAAAGTAAAATATAATTTAGTAAAAGACTTTTTAACTAAATAAACGGCACAAAAAGTTTTCAATAGCTAAAACAGTACATGGAAGAAGAAATTCAAAACTGTCATGTTTCGTGGGACACCCTGTAGTATGTTGACAGACAATGTTTTGAATCCTGAACCTTTTGAGACAAATTATTTTTTTTTAACTTTCTGCATAAAGTTAATCAGCATTTTCCTACGAGGAGTTAAGACGCTAATTCGAATCTACTTCAAACTCTAAACTGACCGCAAAGCAAAAAAGTCAACATCATAGGTTCATAACAAAACAGATAGAACGCTAGATCGGTCGTTTTTTCGAGATTTAGAGATTTTTCGTAAACCTGAGGTAGAGGCCTAGAGGAGTTACGTGTATGCCGCGTTGAATTACAAGACGAAGAGGGAGCATGCCTTAGGGTTATTGTGAACAAAAAACCCCTAATTCTAAAAAAGACGGCATCTAGTGTTCTGTCTGTATTGTTATTAATCTATGGTCAAGATTAAACAAATTTTACGGAAAATTTAAATTGTTCATATATATTGGGATAATTTTAATCTTTGAAAAAGTTAAAAGTATTTCACAGATTGTTATTATTTGGACTGTAGTAGACCTGTAGAGGTTTTAAAAAGGTACCGTTGTGAATCAGACATAAGGTACTTCTTAGCTAAAAGGTCAACTAAATTACGCAAGCAGTCCCTTTAAGAGATAAAATTACAATAAAAACGATGATAATGTTAGTTTACCTGATTAAACACATTATTTACATTGCCGAAATATGATCTAGAGAAACCAAACATTTTTCAATTTTTAACTTTTTTTAGCCTTTTCTTAATTTTTTTTTTTGATCAGTACTTTAGTATTTTGGTGATTATCGACTTTTTGCAAAAACTTAACAAGTTACAAGTTCGGGGTGGGGTGGGGAC